CCTCAGTAGCTATTCCATACTTTTGCCCGAGCGGTATTTTACAAGCAGAGATCTATTCACATTACTCCCTAAAGTTTGAAATGCCTCCAGGGCAAAATTCTATGTGTGATCTTTCAGGCCCGACCATAGGCTATTTCATGGGGGGAAACGGCCATCATGGGGGAAGTTGCCCTTCCCAGTCACCGCGCTGTAATTTTCTGGAAGCAGTGCCGTCAAGGTCTTGAACACAGGTGTCCTCATATGGGGGCCTTATTATTAGGGCCTCAGCTGAGGCACTTTCTCCACCTTGATTCAGTAACTTTCCACTGCTAGCCCGTCTGCCTTTCCTTCTGTCTCAGCCTCCCAGGTTTATAAAAAGGTAAGGGCCTTTGGTTCAGGGCTCCTCGGCACTGAGATGATTCCCTCCATCCGTGCTGCATGTCATTGTCTTCCCATCTCCTAGAGGGCAGACATTTATTTGGCTTAGTATTTCTAGTGATTGGCACATTAAAGACTCTCGAAAACTATTGACTTGGTAAACCATGATCAGGGTAATACTTTGTTTGCACGTACAATGTAATCATGGATGAGGTTCGTGCTCCTTGTATATATCTAGACCTTGTCAATATTAAACTTTCTCAATGCATGTGTAAACTTTGAATTGCTGCACATGACTGAGGAACAAGATGGGTTAATTAGATGTCTTGATGGTATCTTGATGCTATTATTTTTTCAAATGCGAAATACTCGGACAGGATAAAATTTGAATCTGGGCCAGACATTGCCACTTACTGATGCCAGTTTAAAATTTGTAATAAAAATCCAGAAACACAGAAACATTCTAATATAATAATGTTTAAAAGCCTAAAATGTTTTTAAAGCAAAGTAGATAGTGTGATAAAAATCATCTACACACTTCTATTAATTGGACAGTGTGAAATGGGATATCATCTACAAGTCAGGCATGAACTGAATGAAAACCAATGTTTATGAATTAATATTGAAATTATACCATGTAAGTGACTAACATTTTCTGTTGGTTACAGTACAAAATGTGCCTAATAATGGATTTCTTCCAAGACTGCTTATAAATTTAAGCATGAAAAAGCTGAATTTTATTTGGCAAGGATAATAAATGTACAATTAGCTTTCTACTGATAAAAGGTACCCATTTACTAGTATTAGCAAATGTTTTGCAATTAATTTCTAAACAAATTTTCAAGATTAGATAATAATCGAAAAGCTTTGATAGTATCTATTGTAAGCCAAAATTTGGAAATAAAAATAATGAAACCCTTGCTTATAAGCAGTAAGAGTGTATAATAATGACAAACTGCAAGTCTGTCTAGTTAAAGAATTGGCTTTGACTTTTTTATACACAATGAGTAGTAACTAATACCAGCTTGTCAGCTAATAGGAGAAATCATTGCTATTTGTATTCCATTTGCTACTAAGCCAGTAGAAGAGGACAGATAAATGTTTGTGGAACTGAGAAAATTTGGGATACTTATATACAGGATCCTTCAGATGGTTACAACAGTTAAATACGTTTTGATCTTCATTCAATTGTTCGTCATGTATTTTTTGAGCATTTACTATGTGTACTTTGCTAGTATCTAGAAATAACATAGTAAGTTAAAACAAGTGAATTACATTCTAATGGGGAAGATGGATAGTAATCAAATAAGAATAGTGATGAGTATTTAATGAGCTGAGGGGGAAAAAAAACAGAGTTTTATAGAGTATAAAGGTAACTGAATTGGTATCAGGGAAGGCTTATCAAAGAAAGTGATACTTGAAGAATGAGTAGGAGTTTGTTAGATGAAAAAGGTTGAGGTGCAAAAAAAGACCAAGTATTCTAGGCACAAGGAACAACATCAGCAAGATAAAAAGAGAGGGATCCAGTGGGGCTGGAATAAAGACAATTAGAGAGCAGTACAAGATGAGTCTGGAAAAGATGTCATAAGGTAGACCAAAAAAAAAAAGGCCATTTGAAGGATTGTGGTCTTACTCCCCCCAAAATGAAAGACAATTAGTGGATGTAAACTGGAAGGTAACACAATCAGATTTGCATATTTAAAAGACTACTCTTCCATCAATGACAGGAGCAGAGAACAATACAAAAGCAGTTAGTAGAAGGGGAGATATGGTGGTGGCTTGGATTAAGGTAATGGCTATGTTCAAATTCGAGACACATTCAAGATACAAGTCAGTAGGGCTTGGCGATAGGTGGGTATGGAGTGGAAGGAGAGAGGAAAATGAAGATGACTTGCCCAATCAGATAGACGGTGGTGTCGCTTGCTAAAATAGGTAACATCAAAGGAGGGCCAGGTTTGGGGACATATTATGAAGATCTTGGATATGTTGAGACACCTTTGAGCAATGGAGAAATCCAGCAGGAGTTAGCTAGATGGAGATGGAGCTCAGAGGGACGTTCAAGTGCAAAAGAAAAAGTGTAAAGACTAGGACATTGAGATTTTGGCGAAGGAACAGAAATTCTTTGGAAAAGAATAACATAAAGATAAAAAACCAGTTGTAATTGAGACTAGCATAACACAGTGAACATATTTTATGATGCTAATACTAGGAAAATAACAAATGGTTCAATGAATAGTAGAAATAGTAAAAACTGGGGCTTAGTGAATAAATGGTGTTGAGTCAAACAAAAGAGCAGAATCAAAACTCCTAGTCATTGAAACTAATCCCTGTCATTTAAGAAGGGGGTCACTGAGATTTGGGTGGGGAAGTATCCAGGTATGAAACAAACATGGAGCTTATGAAACTTTCCCCTTATTAATATGACCACAATGAGTTACTCTTAAAAGTTCCTATCAAAAGTAACCATGTCGCTCCACGCCATCTCGGAAGCAACACATGGGCGTGTGCGAGGGCCAGTAAGTTTCACTAGGAAAGGACATTTAAACGCATGCTGAAGCCAAAAATCACGTATTAATTTTAATGGAGTTATGAGTATTCAAATAGAAACGTCTTTTACTTTATACAAAAGCAAATTTATCTTCACATTTTACTAGGGAAGGCAAACCACAAATAAATTATGATTTTACTAGAACAGCAAACATATTTTAAAAAAAGAAAACAAGAATAAAAGTTGATCTGGGCCTCCAGTTTGTAGGTATAAATAGCTATCTTGAGTCTTCAGAATGTTTAAATTTGTTTTTGTTTTTTTGATATCCATTTAAAATTTCTCTTACTCTGAACTTCTAGCCTTAAGAATCAAAGAATTCTACAGATTTTTTACACAAAATGAGGTGGAAATTGGTCTTTGTTATATGTCACATGTTCCTGAGACAGAAATTGTTCAATTCTTTCTTGGCTTTAGAAGTTTCACTTTTTCCTGTATTGCAAGAGTGAAATGTTATTGAAAAATAGGGTACGTGACATGAACTGTCTAGCAAAGTATATAGATTTATATGAGAAATGTAAAAAACTTCAAAACAATCACTTCTATGTTTAATAGTTGTAGGGTGGATAGAGAGCCTTGTCTGGAATCCATGTCTACGATTTCAGATGAGAGAGTTCTTGACCTTTGCTGGTTCTAGTACTTAATTTATTTTTTCAAATATCCTTCAGGGAAAAACTACTCACTCTTAAACTGGTTCAGTGAAAAAATAAACTCACCAGAAAACTCTAGACTGTGTCAAAATCGTTATCAGTTTTCTACAAGAAGTAAACAAAATAAAGCTGGAGAAAACAAAATTGATCTGATATGCATGCTTTTGTAGATTTTCACCAGTCTTAAGGATAACGCTGGGAACCAGTGTTCAGGTATTTACTGAGCATCAAGGTGCTTGGGAATGAATAAATAAATTTACATATGAACCAACAAGGCATGTAGTCCAAATACTTGGGGTATAAAGTCCAGAAGGTGAGTTGACAACTACCTTCTATGGGCTTCAACACTACCAGATGTTTCCTTTTTTTCTTAAAAAAATCAGGTGCCTGTGTTCAGCATTCATATTACTTCAGTGTCAGGACAAGGTCTAACAATGATAAAATAAGATACTAATATATCGTCATTTAATAGAAACAATCTTGAACTCATATGCTATTTTAAATCTATTTCAAAAATGAAATTTCAGGTTATTTCTGTTTGATCCACAGCCTTCGAGAAGAACATTTCTGCATGTAGTTAACAAGGGTAGCAATACTGCATCCAAAATTTTTCCCGAATATTGTGAATTAAGGAGCCACACACACACACAAAAACAGAGTGGAAAGCGACCTCCCAGAGTTTTCCTTAGAATCAGATCTAAATTCTCAGCAGCAAACAGGAGACTCAGAAAATGCTGACTTTAATTACAAACTTTATTTGTCAATACAATTCACAGTTTATACATGGTGCAACCCACCATATGAACTTTCAGAACAGTTACTGAGGAAATGGATGTAGCTTTCTTTCTAAAAGAGCCTGACTTTCTAAAATTTCGGTTAGAATTTTTTAAGTTTAGAAAAGTACCTTTAACAAGTTAGCTGAATATTTACATTTTTAGCTTAAATTTAAATTTTGGAAAATAAGCATCTATTAAGTTTTTTTTTTTTTTTTAAGATCCTGGGTTAATTTTTAAGACCCTAATCTGAACGCCACTTTTTCAGAGCACCCCTCCCCCACCCTCAAATAGTAAAAGAAATGTTTTGCAATTATATTTAGGGAAATTATTTTCTTTCTGCATTTTTAAAAATTATATATACAATGTACAGCAGATCTAAGTATGAAAATAAAAGAAAGAGTAGCAATCTATTAAGTGCCTTTACTGAATTTCTTCTGAATTTTGGAAACATCCAGAGTTACAGGATATAAAATTAAACTAAAAAGGATTATCAGCCTTTTCTATTCAAAAAAAAAAAAGCTCTCAAGATTTAAATTGTGCTATAACAGCTTTTTCTCTATTGTCAGAGATGAATTATGCCTGCAATCTGCATTTTTCCATGTGCAAAATCACAGTGATCCCACTTCCAACTTCTGCTCTCACACTCAGTCACAACTCCAGAGGTACACCCACAGAAGGTGAGGCCTGAGCCCAGTCCTGCCTGCTGTGTCACCTCCCCTCATCTGGCAAAAGTCACTCAAGGAAAGAAAATCATATAAGCCTTTCTTTCATACACCAAAAAGCAAATTGATGCTGGCAGTATAATGTTTATTCAAATGCTCATAACATATTGTTTCGCTATCTTGTTTTTATCAGAATGGTAATTCGCACCCATTATCTTAAATCGCTTCCAATTTAAATCTTAACTCTCTAATCACCTCCTAAAAATATCCTTTTAACAGTTTTCTTCTGCCAGATTACTTATATATATATATGGATTATCTTCTTCCGCTTTAAAAAATGTATAGTTATTAATAAATGACCAATTCCAAATACTGCCAGGAAAAAAAGGGACTGGGAGCAGCCAATTTTACCAGCCTGGTAATAATGACACTGTATGTGTGTACCACTGGTACCTGAGTCAAATAAATACTCAGAGGGGCCATCTTTGCCCCTCATTTCTCTGCAGTGCCTTTACTGCTAGGGTTTCTGAGTGTTGCTTCAATGTCCATCTAATTTGGCATCTATTCCTTCTTCTGGTATCATCACGTCAGTCATTTTACACAGTTTCCAGCAAGGTATGGTATTCAAATGGGGGTCATGGGGTAAAGGACTGTAGGTGAGCCTAGGTGTGGGGCGGGGAAGGAGAAACCACACATTAGCTAGAGAGAGGTTCTGCTTCTTCATAAGATAAGGCACTGACAGAAAATTTCTTAGGTAAAAGGCTGCGTAAGAATTTCTTGCCATTTACAAAAAGAAACGTCATCCATAAGTGGTCCGTATCTAGGCTCAGTTAGGTAGACCCTGAAAAATTAAGGACTGATCCCTCGAAGCTACATTATTACCAGAAACAATTATAATTCATTCTGAAGCCTTATGGCACATTAGAAAAAAAGAGAGAAAAACAGTCTGGGCACAGAAAGGCATCAGACATTGCTTGTTTTACTCCACTCATCTAAGAAAGTGGATCTTTCAACAAGCATCATCAAAAAGATAGTGCTGGCTCAGAATTCCAGATTCTTTTGATGGCAGATGACCATGATGGGTGTATCTATTTTTCCCCCACTTTTGGAGCTCATGCACAGTTTAAAAAATGCTACCAGCAACAGTCATAAAGATCATATAGAAGTCCTCACCTATGGCTATGCCTAAGGCTCTTGAAAGAGAGGGCTATTTAATGTTCTCTATAACAGCAATTTCCTCGCCTGCACAGTGTGGCGTCAATCCATTCAAATAGATACTTTCAGTTTTCAGTAAGGGAGGCAAGACATCCCTCTCACTGGCCAGGTGGTTCACGGACAGGGTCCGCCTACAAGGAGTCAGCTCCTGGTTGTGGTTCCCAGCCAGTTCTGCAGAGAGCTTCCGCTTAATGGAGGTGGCGCGCTGGAACTTGTCATAAATCTCCACACTCAGCCGTCTCCTGGTTTCCTTGAACTCGGCTGTGACGTTGGCTGTCCACTCAGCAGCATGGGCTCTGAACTCCCCCACCTGGAGAAAAGACAAAGACACACCAATATTGTGACAGTCAACCTTTTGTGTGCTTTATTTTCTGAGCCTTTTGTAACACTGGAGGTCTGAGAACTGACCTAATAAGGTAAGATGCAGAGCAAAACTCCATTTACACAGATCTGGCTCTAAAAAAGCAATCTATGAATGTAAACTCTATAAATCAAATTGTATTAGAGGTACTAGGTGTGCTTGATTTTTGCACATGAATCCTGTCATTGAAACTTCTGATTCTATTTAAAAAAATCTCTAACTTTTTAAAACTTTGTGAAGGTTTTTTTTTTTTTCATCTGTAATTTGAAGAAGTATCTGGGTATAGAAAAGGCAGAAGCAGCAGGACAGAGTAAACACCTGGAACGTGAACCCAGGTGACCTGGTTTGTTCTGACAGCACCAAAGCTGTTTGCATGGACATAAACTCAGGTTTTAGGGACCAGCAATGATGTGTGCCAGGACTCTATATCCAACCCCCTATTGCTCATTTAGGAAATCTCTATTTACTAAGTAAGCAACAATATATCTCGTTTTTGCCTTCAGGGAAAGCAGATAACTGGTAAGTCAGTCCATCTTGAGGCCCATTTTGGAGAATAAGTAAGTCCATGGAACAGTTTCTCAGCAGATGCTCGTGGATTTAACGAAGCACCCAACCCGTCTGAGCTGCCACCTCCTCAGCAGTAGGACAGGCGTCTTCACAGAACACACCTAACAGGATGGCTGGGCTCATGCGCTTCGCCAGCTGTAAGGGTTTATGTCTGCGTACTTCTCTCTCCAAAGTTAAAGAAGAAAATATTGCCAAGGCCTAAGCATGTGCATAATGTTTCCTCTGACCTCTTTAAAATTATATCTGCACTCTTGTCACCTAAACAGGACCACGACTAACCCCATGGAAATCTTTAAAATCCTTTCCTTAACCAACTAGAACTTAATAATCCGGGACATCTCCTATTGTGGAACAAGTTCCCCATTTCCCTCTATGGCTCACTCTTCTGCTTTTAGCTTAGGTGACATGGGCTCTTCTTTATCTGGAAATCGAATAACTATAGCTCTGTTTTTTGTTTTGTTGTTTAACCTCTGTTGATTTTTGTTTTAGACTTTGATATGGGAAATATAACTGATGGTTTCTGCTGTGGTCTGAATGTTTGTCCCCCCCCACCCCAATCCCCAAATTCACATGTTGAAATCCTAACCCCAAGGGACCTCTGGAGGATGATTACTTTATGAGGGTTGAACCTTCACGAACGGGATTAGTGCTTCATGAAAGAGAGCTCCCTGGCCCCTTCCACCATGTGAGGACGCAGCAAGAAGGCTCTGGATGTCGCCTAGAAAGGATTATGCTGAGACTATGATCCTGGACTCCCAATCTCCAGAACTAACTGTGAGAAATAAATATTTGCTGTTTATAAGCTACCTAGTCTGTGGTATTTTGTTACAGCAACCTGATCAAACTAAACCGGTTTCTAGATATTTATACTGAAGACCTGAACTATAGAGGGAATATATATGTACATATATTTCAACATGATATGTACATATACTTGAGTAGTCATAGATGTGTGTGTGTCCACAAAAACAAAATGAAAACTGTTCTAATATCCTTGGAAGGAGGCACATGGCCGATCACTCTTCTTCGTCTGTTCGTAATCACATATATACACACATTTGATGATCTACTATTTATTTTAAAAAGGTCTTTTATTTCCTACTTGTATTGTCCTAACAAGAAATAATTGCTTGTTATCTGTGCCTGGTTCTGGAAAAAAAGCAAAGCTGGAAAAATGAGAACTCGTGGCATACATAATTGGCGAGCTTGAGCATTCCTTAATCACTGAGGCAAGTTTTAGAGAAACTTACATGGAAAGAGGTGCTAAATTTATAGCAATGTAGCCTGAAGATTCTCACTGTTCCCGTAAGGGACCCTGTCCCTTACACTATACTCAGATATGGAAGAGATTATTGAATGTTTAATTCTGCTTTTGGGGGACTCTCTGGTTAGAAAAGCAGAGGCAGTATCAAACAGTGGTGAGAAATGCTGAATCGTTCCATACATATCTATAAATAACGTGCCCTCCACGCCCCCAACAGTTTGTGTTATTTTTCTGTTTACTTCGCTGTCTTTCTGTTTAGACTAAGAGTTCTTGAGTTCGGAGTCTATACTATATTCATTGCTATATCTATAATATCTAGGGTCTGGTATAGAAAAGGCCATCAGTAGAAACTTGTTGAATTTCATTAAATTAATAAATGAACACTATCTATAAAGTTTTAAAAGAGTACTTTTAATATAAAAAGTTAAGAGATTCAGTTGTTTCTCTACCAGTTTCAATTTAGTTTTCAAGACTTAAAATTACAGCAATCTTAAAGATTATGCTCAAATACAAAAAGAAAATTTGAGTAATATGGTCTTAAAATAGTTCTTGTTGAAATGTTATTAAATTCTCCTAGTTTACACTACAAGCAGATAATCCCAGTGTGAAATTTGCAGTTTATAATAAAACAGTAATTATTAATGAAAAATAAAAATTTTTAACTGACCTTTATTGCCACCTTGCCAATGATTTTATAAAAAAAGAAATTAACCTGTTCTATTTGAGAATGCAGAATTTTCTAATGTAAAAAGAACAAATACTTATATAATTTTATCTTCGATGAGCCTTTCCTAGTAGTAAGGTTAATAAAATAAAAGAAACAGGAAAGAATCAACATTTTTGTTTAAATGTCTGTAAAATGTAAGAATCAGCTACTATATTCAATTTCCTCCCATGTACAGGTAGTTAACCAAAAATAATCACTTGCCTACAATAAGTGATTTAGAGTAAACCTGTAAATCATGGCTCAAGTCTTGGGACACTGTTAGAAATGATGGACCTAAAATTAGGCCTATTCCATTGGTTTTATTTTGATTACCAGCCTTTTACCTCCATGAGCAGAAAGGCTACTGATCACAGGATCTGTCTCCCTCTTTCTTTAGTAATAGTCTCCTATTTTTTTTATCTTAAAAATGTCTTATTATTAATAGTAATAGACTCTGCTTATCTAAAAATTCAAATGTTAATCCACTTACTTGCTAATTTTTTATCTCTTCTAAAATGTAAGTTCTATGTACATCCTCAGCACCTAGAATATACCTGGTATGCAGCAGGCTTATAATAAAATACTTTTAAATGCATGAACATATCGCTGAAAATGCATGCTCTCTGTAATCTCACACCTCGATAACAATTAGCAATGGCATAACACAGACTGCCAATTGTTTTTCTTTCCTATATACTTAATTTCTTCCTCCTCCATTTTGATTATCATTAATATTTTCGCAAATGGCTTTTTTCCCTGTAACCAATTTTCATCATTTTCCCTTGCTAGTACCCATTATTCTTCTACCTCATAGTTTTTGTCAGCTGCCTAGCATTCCACAGGATGATGGATATGGCATGCTACTACTGATGAATTCTGGATGGTATTTTGTTTTTCGTTTTTTGTTTTTTGTTTTTAATAATAATGATAACTCTTCGGTGGATATTCTTGTACCCATATCCTTGCTAATGTGTCCAAGTATTACTAGAAGTGGAAATGCTGGGTCGAAAGATATGAATATTTTCAGATTTTGAGGCCATTATGAAATTTCCAACTAATCACCATTGTTTTCAGAGTCAGGGTTTGCAGCAGCCTTAACACTTCCTCTTTCTGGACGGTTAGGTAACCTCTGTCTTTTCACAGCAAAAAAGGATCTGATTATTGGCACCTACATAAAAAATTCTTTAAATGTCTTAATTATTGCAATTTGAAATTTAAGTGGTCATAATAAATTGGACAAAGAATAAAAACCTTCCTTAGACTCGATCTGCATTTTCTCAAGAAGCAAGTTTCACAAAGTTACCATGATCTCTCAGGGTACGCTAATGACACAGAAAGCTTTCTATAGAGCCAAGGGCTTCTACAAATTAGTGATTCCTGCAAATTAGGAAAAGCCTAAATGCAAGGAAAGCTCAGCTTATCTCAGTTCATAAACTGAATTTCTTATTCTTAATTGCACTCAATCTTGGCATAGGCCGGGATTCTTCTCTGCTTTTGGGGACATGTCTTTTTCTAATTTCTTTAGCATTCCCAAGTGGGAAAAGGTAATCTCTGGAGGACATAAGGGCTGCAGCTGAAAAAGCCAAAAAACAGGAGGAGATTAGCAGCAGTGGGGAGGAGGGACAAGAGCCTCCGGTTCTAGCTCTATCACTCATATTCTAGGTGCCCACAGGTAAGCAATGTTACCTTTTCTGAGCTTCATTATCTATTAAATAAGGATAATAATAATCTATTTCACAGGAGAAACAAGTGGTGTGTGTGCATGTGTGTGTCCTTAAAATGTAAAGGACTACACAATTACTAATTATGATGACAAGGCTGGTGATGATGATATGGCTTGCCATGGGTACTTCAAGAGCTTAGAGGAGAGTACCAGGGAATGCAGTCAGCTAGGTGGAGAGCCAGGGGAGAGAAGGAGCAATATAATATAGAATTGAAATAGAAATAATATAGAATTGAAAAAAATGGGACACTTACCCATGGACTATGATTCAAAAGTTCTAAGACTTCAGTGGCAGCATGGCCTGAGTCTCTTTGCATGTCTCACTAGAAGCAATGGATTGCCTAACCCCTGAGTTATGCAGATCTTTAAGTCATGAGGTGGTCTGAGCATGTTGAAGGCACACATGAAAAATAGAGCTGAATAGCCATCCTTGCCAGATACACTGGGTGATGTACTTCATCAGTCAAAGGAAGGCCATGACCAGAGAGTGTTTTGTTTCCCTTTTACTCATTATTACAACTGGAATAATGGTGTGAATACAACAAAGAATTCAAAGTATAACTATAAAGATTTACTCATAATAAAAAGGACTCTCATTTTTAACACAGGTCCACATCACGGAATTGCATAAAATTGTGTATGTATACATGTATATACTTATATACAGACATGTATATATTTATATACAT